CTTAGTAATTTGTGGGGCTTTTACCTCCCCTGTTGGGCTGCGAGCATAATACCTACAAGACATATTCTGGGAGTTGTTCCATGCAAAATTCCTGTACAGGGCTGCACTGTTTACATTGACTACAAATCTGTATGCACAAGAGAGCTCAGCATGGGAACAAAAACCTATCTCTGAAGTCATTCTGTGAAACAAATTGAACATGGTTTTCCCCATAACAAGGGAAAACAGAAATAATCCTGAAAGGTAGAACGCCTCTCAAAAATTTGCAGGGAACTTCTGCTTTCTAATACAAGACTGTGTTAAACAAGTCTCTTTACTGAAGAGACTTCCCAAAAATACATGTTGAATAATGGTGAGACCCATCAAGCCCAGCTAATTGATCCCCCTATGAGCCATGGGAAATGAAGTATGGAAATTCAATCTACACATAAGAAACAAAGCAGTTAAAAAACAAATAATACATTGCAATGTGAGAACCACCTTTTAAAAACTACTTGTTTCTTGACTACAGCTGTATTCACTATTGCTCCACAAAATACTAGGGGAAGTGAAATATTGTTTTTCTACAGATCAGATCAGACAAGATATGATGAAAAGACAATGTGGAGGGTGAAAAGAAACAGGGAGGTCCTGCAAAAGAAAGCAAAGCAATCCTCTGCTTAAAGAAAGTATGAGAAACAGGTCTGCAAAAGCAGTGGATCAAGACTTTCAACTAAGAGGATTTATGGAGAAGGAGATTTTATCTCCAGGCACAGGTTAGCCTGGAAATATAAATCCTAACCCTTGTTTTAAACAAACTGACCCCAAATTACCCATGATGTTTTTAAAGAATTTTGTACAAGAAGAGAACCTTRGTGGTAATTTTGTGATAAGCAAGGCAAAGTATTTAGAAGAGAGCTTTCCAGTGAACAGGATGATTTCACTTTGAAAAACTTCCTAATTGTCGATTCAGCAYATCTCCAAAGCAGCCCAGGCTGGAAATGTTAAACTCGCTTCAGTTGAACTTGGCATGGACATTTAMCTAGTTTGCAAAATTATTTAAATAATGGTTCTTTGTCTACCTTTTTCCAAATGTATAAAATTTTGTTAAGCAAAAACATGGCCTGTACCTCTAGAGAGTATTAAAAAAAATTGAATTTGCAAATTTGTTTCTGTAAGGGAAAACTTGCTGTTCTAAGAACACAATTCCTCAATGACCAGAGACSCAGCACAGGCATAGAGCAGAGTGAGGTTGCAGCTGGAAGTCTGACTGCTCTTAGACCCAGAAGTGCCACAGCACCAAAAACATGTCAAATCCAAGTGGGAAAAGCTCTGCTGGGCAGCATCCTGTAGCACACTACTGCACTTGTGGAAGCAACAAGATCCCAGGGACACAGCACTGTGCCCTAAGGTGATTCTGCACCAGCACCACTATCTCTGCATGGTGTCATGGATTTTCTGGGCCTTTTTGCCAGTACAGTATACCAGGCTGGTACTCACAGCCTCTTATTTTTCTGCAGAGCCTTTTAGAAATTAATTTTTAGTCAAGATTTGAGTGTCAAGAGGACTTTGCAAGMTGGATATGYACAGTGGCCATATCAAAGCAATCAGCTAGAACTATAAAGAGAGCAGCCATAACCCCCAGTTATGCCAGGCAGCTTGTGGATGTGGATTGAGAGAAAAGGATACAGGGTGACAGGAACAAAAGGCACCTCAASAATAATAAAAAATTGCAAACAGGTAACCACCTAAAATATAGAGATACAAATATGTGGCAGCCTAGGGAACAAGAAGAGGAACTTGAGCTCCCTGTGTTGTTATAACACTATTGGGATAACAGTTGTGGTAGGAAGGCTCACATGTGACAGGAGCACTGTGATGGATGGATACAAGTTCCTCTGGAAAGACAGGTAAAGAAAAAGGGAAGACTGAGGGCTGTCTACATGAWGGAGCAGCTTGAACACTTGTAGTGGACAGCAGTCTGATTGAGAGCATGTGTCAGGATCTGAAAAGAAGCCACTAAGGGTGACAAGGATGGGGCAGCGTATTTCAGCCCAGCCCACCACGGTGATGGGGACAGTTGACCACTAGCACAGACTGTGCAGTCTCCATCCTTAGAGATTTTCAGGGCCTCACTAGATAAAAAGTCCTGGTCTAATCTCACAGCTGATGCCACTTAAAAAGGCAACTGGACCAGGTTCAGAGTTCCCTCCCAACCTGAAATATACCGTGATTCCAAGTCTAAAGATCAGAATCCTAGACAGGAACTGTAATTTTGAAATGGAGGCAAAGGAATAGAGCATCTGCTACCAGGCAAGCAGTCTGTTAAGTGWCTGTGTCTTCACAACCATGGCACTAAGATGCTCACACAGGAGTCAACCATAGGTCAAGGCTGCAGACTCCCAGAAAGTTGTAGAGGCATGATGGAACAGTGGCAGTTGCAGCACAACCTATTCCTGCACCACTTGTGAGTATCAAACATCTAGGAAAATAAAAATCCTTGGCAACAAATGCTAACTTTGAAATTAATATCCCAAAGCAGATTTTCTCAGGACAAGGAACTTCTGAATGTTTTCAGCTTCCCTAACCATTTCAGAGCCAGAAAATGTGAGATTTGCACTAAAAAGTATTTCCAGTGAGTGAAAGAGGTAGAGGGGCAAAACTGTTTAATTCACTGGCATTCCTTACCTGTGACCTCCCCACCATACAATACAGCAGATCAGCACCAAGTTTGAGAAGTAGCTAAAACTTATTGCCTCACTCTCGCAGAGACACTGTTTACATGTTTCTGGAGCAAATGAATGAGCACTCAAATCCAGATCATAATCATAGTCCTTTCTTGACATATATCCAGCTCTTGTTTTCAGTGACAGAACCATACTGACAGTTTCTAAATATCTTCAATGCAAGACTGCTGCCCTCAGGAAATTATAATCATTCCATCTCTCTTGATTTGATAAATACACCCCCTTAAGACTTGGTTCTCTTCCCACAGGTGGCTTCAGTTTTGCTCAGCTCTTCTCCAGATATAGTCTGCACTTTAGGGAAGCTCATGGTCAGCCCTCCACCTCCAGCTGCAGCCTCCTCTAGGAAAATTGCCCACTGGGCTTATTTATACCATCAACTTCAGCTCCCTAGTCACCAGCTCCCTTGGCTTGTAGGTATCTGAAAAAAATAACCTGTGCATTCCACTCCTACAACAATGCTTTTGGCTTCTTTCTCCTCTTTTCAGAAATTGGCCTGCAGCCATGACAAGGGTTCAGAACTATTCCCAAAAGGGACAGGCAGTCTAAACAGAAAAGTGATGCTGAAAGGCGCTGCATGTACCATATTCTGCCCTGCCTTTTAAGGAATACTAMGCAGCTTCAACATCTATAATGATTTACAAATGCTTCAGCATGGCTCAACCATATAACCAAAATACAAAATTCATTGTTATTTGTCTACAGGTGTCCTTYATCTATGTGTTAAAATTCATATAAAATCTTTCCTACCTATGTCAGTGGATCACTGTGAATAAAATGCAAGGAGGCAAACACTGCCACAGTTCTACTGCATGCTCCTGTCCCCAGTAACCCATTTTATAATTRCATTATTATCCATTTGGTTAATGTAAAAAAAAAAACCAAAAAAACAAAACCTCAAAAGCACTGCTCTAATCTTCAAAAAGCTACTAAGACCACTCCTGGGTAYAGCAGAAAATGTACCCCTAAGTCCTGTAAAGATTAAGGTAGCAGCAGGCTCCTTACAGCATCTTTGTCCAGCTTGCTGTCAAAGGCTTTGGGTTTGCACCAATAATCAAGTTATAATAAACTTCAAATCAGTCTCCAAAAAGAAGTTCTCACATCAGGATTCAGGTAGAAAACTAAGTTTCAAATTCAAGGCTCAGTCTTGAAGAAGTGAATATGAGAACTAATTTCAGAAACTGAAAGTGACTATGAGAGTCATTATTTTAGAAAATATTTATGAATCAGAAATGGACACACATGAGTATTATTTTAAACTCTGAATAAACTATTATGGAATTGACTTGAAGTTCTAACTCTTTAGTCTGTCATCTCCTAGAAGATACTTTTCCTTGCCCAGTTTTTACAAGTACTTGGAATTATGCRTTATTGCCCACAGCATTTCCAATTAATAATATATTAGAGAAAAAAGAAAACACACTTATAAATTGTTCGGATTACACCACTAGAAAAAAGTCTGCACAAGTTCATATACCACTGCAACATTAAAGAATCTAAAAGTACTGAAAATGAAACAGTGATCATAAAGATTGATGTWGCATCTATATGATAATCTCTGAATACAGTAATTTCCTTTACAGAATTTCTGTTAAGAATAAAGAAAACACTCTGTGGAATTGCTAACACTCAGTCTTAATGCATGAGTAACTCTCCAACTGGACAGGTGGAATACACACAAATGTACTCTTAAAGCTTGGTATCTGCCTGCTCTCCATTTTCCTTTCTGATTTCCTTCCTGCGCTCTCCCCCTTCCTTGGAAAAGACTTTTTGTGACAGATGGAAAGAGCACTCAATGTTTTAAGTCAGTGAAAAGCATTGGCTCTGATGGCTCAGCTGATCTGGAAGGGGGACAGTCACTGTCCTGCTGAGTATCTGGAAACCAAGGCAAGACTGGGAACAGGWCTCCAGCATGATGCATGATTCTCTGGATCTCTGCATCAGACAGATCCCTCTGCAGGAATGCTTTGATGTCACCTAGTAGGCAGCAGCCTTGAGGAGAGTGATGAAGCAAGAAGGGCATGCAAGAAYCCCTACCTGAACCTGAAATACAGGTTTAAAATGAAGCTGAAGGCAAAATAAGAAACAAGGGTGGGTGGGGACCAGTCTATGGGTAGAGAAAGTCTATAGGTAGAGAAAACAAAGGAGAGTTGACTAAAGACATTCGAAATCAGGTGGTAAACACAAGAGCAAACCCACTTTTCAAACATCAAACAGTTGTACTATCCTTGGAGAGCTGTGGTGGTGCAATGCTTTATGAAACTGCACGCCCTACTATCCAATTCCATTCTCTTTATTTTGTCTTGGCCTTATCTGCATGAATGGAAAACAATTGCAAAAACAGATACATGCAATTCGGTTTTACTGGCTTCCAAAACCTGACTGGATTGGAAACAATGGTTCCAACACATTTATCYTCTTTCAATCTGTGGTTTCATGGAAAGGTGCTTTTTTCTTGAGCTTTTAATTAGCATATCATTTGTATGCTAGCCAACAGAATTCCCAAAGGCTTTTTACCATACTGTTCCTGTCAGCCTTTTTTACAGAAGAGTGCCCAGCTGAAGGCTACTTCCAAAATACATCTGTAAAACTCACATCTGAACACTCTTCATTCATAAAATAGATGGAAAAGTGAGGAATAAGGAGGAGAAAATTGYACAGAAAGAAAGCAGACCTGTACAAAAATCAAGATGAAAAGCAAAGRTTCTTTGATTCTCCATTCCCCATAATAGAAATATTAAAAGTAATGTTTTTTTGGACTGTGTGCCACATTCAATTCCTAAAACAGAATATTAGCTACAGCGTTTCTGTGTTTAAAGTCATTTTCCCACTGCTTTTTGTTGACTGTTTGCATTATTTAACTTCAAGGAGTCCAAGAGGCTTTTGATCGTTTCACTTCCTATTCCTTTCATCCTATTCTTCRTCTTTCTGGAATTACTTTTTCCAAATGGTATCAGTAGTGCTGCCAGTCCCCAAGGTTCTTTATCAATCATTTGCTGAGTTTTATCTTCCTTCTGTAAAATCCAGGCACTTTCTCTGGCCATAGCTACAAACTTCTCCAGCTGTGGCTGATTAACATTCTTGCTGATATTAAGGTCTTGTTCAAAGGGATTCCAGATATAAAGAGGAGACGACTCAGGCTTATTTACTTCCTTTCCCTGCAGACAACATAAAGAAAAAGCCAAAGTTGCATATGTGCATTAYAGAGCAAGTAACAAATCACTTAAATTATTACATTAGCATTAAAARTGTTTTAACCTACTAGAGAACATTTTGCAAAACACCCTGTCATTATTAATCAAGTTAATTTTCCTGTCAATCTGATTGTATGATACCTGTTCTCTGAATCCTCACYGTGCTGGTTTTCAGCTTAGATTTCCTTCAAGGTAAAGAACATWCAGCTACAGCTTAACCTGTCTTTTTGGCCAGTCTCCCATTTGCTTTCCAACAAACCTCAGACCTCACCCATTGCAACCTCCTACTCTTGATCTCCACTTGCATGTGGGCAGCATCAGTGCATCACACTAACCTGCACAGCCCAGTTTGATAAAGTATTGCAAGCACCTTATCTGTTCAAACCTTTCCTACCACAATGCTCAGAGAGCTCATAGAGCTGGTGTAACTATGCAAGGTTGTTGCCTAGGCTGAAATTTCTCTCAGTTTGTTCTGTCTTTTAAGCACAGAGCTATYCAGGTCATGGTCCACTGCTAGGCACCTGGTACAGTGCTGACACACAATAGCTGACCACTATGTAGTTTGATATTCAAATGCACTTCCATCTCAGTGCTTATCAGCATTTCTTAGCTGACCTGTTCTGTACAGTAGAACCTCTTCCAGCCTTTCTATCTGCAAGCTCTAGCAGGAATCCACCAGCTACTGCAGCTCCAGGAACTGTCTACATACACACATACTCTTGCCCCAGGGCCAAGAGACCTGTCAGAAAAACATCAGCAGCACAGAAACCTCCCCTGACTAGCTCAGGCTCCAAATGTGTTTTTGCTTGCCTTTTTAGGGCTTAGGAGCAAATARAGGTTCTCCACCTAAATAATCCATTTCTAGGACCAACCTGCAAAAAGACTCTCTTTGCCAGTGATCCATAGTGCCCAAATAGGAAACAAAACAAATAGTGTCCACACAGCAACACAGCACTGAATCCCCCATTCCGGAAGCAGCCCAGCAGGAACAGGTGTGAGTTACACTAGTTACATTTTCAGGTATTTCTATTATACTTACATGCAMACACAGATCAATAGGATGACTTAAACATATAAAGCAAACCAAAGTGGTAACACGGAATTATCATCCTATGGCATGATTACTGAGCTGCAGTACAGTTACTGTAGGTGGATACAAACTGCAGTCAAAAACTCCAGGGCCAAAAGCATACCCAGAACTCAGCAGTTTTAATGCAGGCTCTGGTTGGGTCTGGACTCYCAAATTTAAATGCAAAGCCTGTTGGCACACGGGGTTTGTTGCAGACTTTTGCTATGASAGACATCATAACATTTCAAGTTTTCCTTGCACAGAAGCAAAACAGCTTCAACATTTTGAAACTAACTTTTATTACRGGGCTTTCCAGTACAATCACACTGGCTTTGCATCAGTTTGTGCTTTCCAGTATATCCAAGTAATGACACCATTAATGTTCTTAATGGTATTGTAAGTTATTGGACTTCCAGAGGAAGAAGCATCTCCCCCTTCACAGAAAGGATTCAGTCTCTACATAAACGTAGCTTTTATATACAATTAAAAATTACAGAAAYTGTTGCTTAGCGCATGTAATTTGCCAAATGGCAGATAAGACAGATTCATTTGATAATGATGAGCAATTACAATCCATTTACCTTTCGAAGATTTATGGAATTCTTTCTGAAATCGAAGTGTCCAAAATATTCAAAAAACTCACTCAACAGCACATCTAAGGGAAAGAAATATAWGGGCCATCAGTAATATTAAGGAAAAGTTTATTTTTAATATGCTCATTAAAAAAAAAGAAAATTGCCAAAGATCTACCTACCAAGTGTTTCGGTATTTTTTGTAGGTTTAATCTTCCTTAAATCACTAACAAATGAGCAATCATATCCTCCAATTACATGCTTGTCTTTTTCATCTGAAAGAAAGATTTTGGGCATATTTTGAAGTAATAAACAATAAAATGCCAGACTTAAATAAAATTCAGATAACAGATAACATTGAAATCAATGCTACCATATTACATAAATCAAAGTGAACTTCAGGTCAATATTCAACTTAAGTGGTAAAAGAATTAAAATACAATAGTCTATAGACAAAAGAAAAGCATCATAAGTAAATGGCAYATTTTCAAAATCCTACAGGAATAAGATAAATGATAATAAGATAAATCTTTGCATCTGACAATACTTCTTATAAGTAACAAACTCTGCATGGAGGTATCTCTGCATGGAGGGATGTATTGTACACTAAAGACACAACTCTGAGGTTACTACCTACATGAGGGTTTCAAAAAAATCAGACCCAGTGTCCACTGTCTTTTTCTGAAAAAACATCAGATCATTAGGTAAACTGTTGTAAAATATCAGAACACGTGTTTATGTATAAGAATTTTTACAGAATTCTGATGGAAATCTTTAAAMTTATTTTAAAGCAACTGAACACAGACCTTTTTCTCCACTGAAAGCACTGAGGGCTTCCAAGGAAGCATGTCAATAAGCAGAAGACATGAGTGAGGAATCAAGAACTTGAGGTGCCACTCTCTATGCTTTCATACGATTCACATAAGATAACACACYTTGAAAGCTCTCTATGAAATAGCCAGAACCACTCGTTTATGGAGATACAAGAATTATTTGCAAATGGCCTGAAGAGTTCAAGGATATTATAAATTGGGAGAAGAAAACACAGCCTTTCTTTTTAGCATTTCTTATCTATAAAACAATACACATCTATCAGTCTGCACAAATCCTTAACACCAAAAACACTCAAGACTCTAAAAGTCTTCTAAAAAACTAAATTTAAAAAAAAAAAGCATAGGAGCACTGAACAGATACTTTTACTTATCTAAGGTACAAATTAAGTCTAGCCACTCAAAATAGAATTCACCATTGTATTGAAAAAATTATTTTGCCTTTAAAGATGAATTATTTTCACTAAAAAAATACACATAAAACTTGTGTATTTCATCAAATTTGAGGCACACATAATATCCATCATTATTTGAGAGAATAAAGAAATTTGTAGGGTTCATTTATCATTTTAGAGAAAGCAAATATGCAATAAACAATAAACTGCAATAAACACAGAAACCAGTGTGCTTACCTGCCAGTTCTTTAAGCTGGTCTAGTGTAGGAATGATAGGTGGCGATCTCCTTTGCAGAAAAAACATGACCATCATGGTCAGAGAGAAGTTTGTAATCCAAGTACCAGGAGCACTATTTGTAAGTCCATGAACACGGGCCCAACATCGTATAGTGAACACTAATGCTCGTACACGGGAATCAAGACAGCCATAGATATACAAGAGTTCTGAACTTCTTATAGCAATGCTGAAGAAGAAATGAGAAGTGTAAATAATGAGAGAATTATGAAGTGTCAGATGCAGTGTTCATTGTTCATTATAAGAGAAGAGGGCATCCACTTTAAAAAAAAATTAACTTTTAAACATTTTAAAATACAGAAGAAAATCATAGAACAGTAGAATGGTTTGGGTTGGAAAGCCTGAAATTGTCCATGATTAAATACCTGGTAGCTTTCCATAGTAGGAAAGACACAGTTCTGKGTAAATAATAATACTACATTTGCACTGTTTCCTGTTTCCCTGTTCCACATAACAGTGGGAGGAAAAAACACCTAAAATAAATAACCACCATCAAATGTAGTCAAACTATGCAGAACTGAGGTAAAAAAGCATAATTTAGCCACAATTGCCTTTGAGGTACATTAGATAATATCTSTATCCTAATATGCAGTAAAATGAAATGAAACTTATTTTGCAAGCTTTATCTAAAGAGTAATAAAATGCTGCACTGAAAAATAACCTAAGTCCRGAGACACAATGAAATCTGCAAAACAAGTCAGTTTGGTAATTTTCAAATGATTACTGCTTAGTTGAGCTGAAAAAACAACTAATCTGGAAGGATAAAGATTTTCAGATGGATCAGTTTTTTATCTCCTTCATCCCACTGTTACACAACCATTYATATATTGTACAAATGGGTGGGCAAGAAAAAAGTAGAAAAAAAACAGAGGTACAATATAAGAGCAAAACTTACTTTCGTTCAGTTTTAACCTGAAGTGCTAAAAATTGATCTAAAAATTCAGTATTACCTTTCAGGGATGTTAACTAGGTCAAAGTTTTGTAACACCTGGACATCTGAAATTTCAACTGTGAGGTGTTTTATCATTTCTTTGTAGTAAAAATGGTAACAAGACAAGACAGTCCCAACCAGCCAAACCATCAGCAGTGAATTACAAGGAAGCTTGTACAGAACTACATGCTGACTTTCATTGTGGCCACATATAGAGAAGTATATTCTAAGAAACTTGTTCAATACTACCTTAACAACTCCTGCATATTCTGAAACAGAACTTCGGGTAGTTCAGAAAACTGAGTGTATCTGATCTGATTGTATCTGATGCAGACAAATCACAAAATTGCACTAAAACTTGTATCACAGAATCACAAAATATTCTGAGTTGGAAGGGACCCACAAGGWTCATTGAAGTCCTACTCCTGGCCCTGCACAAGACAACCCAAAGAGTTAGACCATGAACCTGAGAGCATTCTCCAAATGTTTCTTGAACTCTGTCAGGCTTGGTGTTGTGACCACTTTCCTAGAGAGCCTGTTCCAGAGCCCAGTCACTCTCTGGGTGAAGAACCTTTTCCTAACATCCAACCTAAACCTCTCCTGACACAACTTCAGGCCATTCTCTCCAGTCCCATCACAGTATCCTGACAGATAATCACTCATATTTTAATATTTCCCAATAGCAATGAAAAGGGTCAGTAACTCTTTTTTGGCTATGTGCCGATATGGCAGGGCTGTTTACTGGAGCGAGGGGGTTATTCTGACTAAAACACGCGACAGCACAAGGCCAAGGGACAGCACAGGCGTTTCTGTGCTCGGCTGTCACGGAGGGGCCCCGAGCGGCATTTCTGAGCAGCCGCCGCCTCCTAGCGGGCACTGCTGCGAGGGCCCCGCACAGGAACACGGCAGGCTCCCTTCCCCACSAAGGGAATTCACTCGGCATCCAAAGGACCTTCCTGACAAACAGGTATATGCAGGTACTTAGCAAGAAGAAAAGAACACCAAAATAACTAGAAGCCCAAGCACTAAAATATAATATTCTGGAGCTGCCTAATYGGAAAAGTAATCAAGAAAGGCTGTGCATACACCAAAGGGAAGTAATGGCTAATATACACTGCCTTCTTTCAATTCTTTGTAAGATAACCTTAYTGTATAGACTGGGGTTTGAGTCTTCAGYTTCAGCTAGCAAGTATTYCCTATGCTGGAAAAAGATAACTTAAGGACATCAAAATGTAAGCTCTACAAGTTAAAAAATACCCTTTTCAATGAGCCAACATTCAGACYTGTTAAGAGCAAGGTAAGGATAAGATTAAATAGTTGTTATTACAGGTTTTTGGAACATTTCAAGTACATCAGAATTCCCTGCAATTTTTTTTTTTTAAACCAGGTCTCACCTGTTGCTCACTGACAGATCACAMTGGAATCCTGTTGGTTGATGGGAAAATTTCACCAGAGGGCAGCGGGCATTGAGTATCTTCTGTACATTCACACACCCMGGACCAAAATTATCAAGGCAATCACCAATCACAGAAAGAATCCTCTGAGTTGCTAATCTTTCCGATGGTAATCTTTTCATCTGATACTCCATGTCAAAGGGACCTTTTTGCTAACACAGARTTTTAAAAGCAAGCTGTTAGCTCTYGAACAAAAGAGACATTTAAAAATACTTCCAAAATACCACAGAAATTTACAAACGAGTTTGTACAACTAGAACTGAAAGACAAGATTTATTCAAAGCAGTCCACCAAACTAAAAATAGGTAAAACATATTGGTCTCTTTTACATTCTTTATTGGTGATTCAATTTGTCCAGGTTAATAATGATCAACTTACTGTAAACCTACATGATCAAACAAAAATGTAATACTACTACATCACACTATTGGTTAAAAAAAGTAATTCTGGAACTACTAGGAGAGCATAAATGCTCTGATTACAAAAGAGGAGCATGGAATTACAGAGGGGCAACACAACCAAACTACCATTCATTTTAAACTCAGTAATTACACTTCAAATCCTCCAAGAACAATGCATTATTAGTAAATCAAGTAGCAGGATAAAATAAAATATCTTTTTCATTTTAAAGAAAGTAAAAAAGAATTAGCATGCGAATTACTTAATGCTTCAAAATTAAGATTCTGTAAGACTTACAATAAATCACATACAGTTTTCCTGAAAGACAAAAATATTATGAAGATATATTCTAACACCATTAAGTTTTTTAACTGAATTAACTTTTCTGTAGGTCTTCGTATTTTGATTTGCTATATTTGTAGTTTTCACCTCATTAAAATACCTGTGAAATCTGTTTTCTTTACAGCYTGTGTTTTTTAAGCCTTTTTGGCTAATTTTGCTTGCTAATCCAATACTTGACACTGACTCATCCTTCCCCTAGGAACATGTCATGGGTGAATGCATCCTATAAAATAAAATTACAGTGACCTAACTAGTAACTGAGACACAGAGCAGGTTACTTTTGTTGTCACCAAATTAATGAACTCACAAACAGGTGAAACAATTCACAAGTTATGGACCKTGCAACTTTTCCCATGAAGTCAGTTCAGGTACTGGATTTCTGGGTCTCTCTGGCAATCACTGAGGTGACTGTTACCTCTCCCCTCCTGCCAAGGGCTCTCCCCTCAGCAGAGTGGTGGAACACGCCAGGACAAAGGTCCCTAATCCCACCTGTAGCTGTGTGCTACAGTAGGGCTGGCTCAAACTCTAATTACCAACTTCGAGGTAGTTAACAGGAAAGGTAAAGATGGGCACTCAGCTGACATGTAGGTGGGCTGGCATTGAGGTTCATATTCATGACAAAAACCACAATGGGCCTTTCCAGACAGCACCTCACTATGTTTCAAAAACAGAATGAAGACTTTTCTGTAATGATAAAGTAGATATTCTTAGCAACTGATAGAATTTTCATATATAGCTCTGGGACCAGGTAGAGGGCATCAAGTACTGATACACTTGCCCCAACCCTGTGATTCTTACCCTATTCTCTCCATGTTGCTCAAATCAGCAAACACAGGTAAAGTATTACTGCTGGATAAATTGATACAGTAACCTAAGMAAGAAGCATAACTGTTTTAACAAAACTTGCTACTCTAAAAATATCACAGAGCCCTATTTTAGGTCATTCTACAATTTCCCTAACTGCCCACATGTTAAAAATGTCACAGCTGTGGTCTAAGTGTATTGATAACCCACTCTTGGTAAAGAATGCTCCCACCTTTGCACCTTTTTAAAATTTACCATTAGTAATCAGTTAGCCATAAGGCACGAGAAAAGTAATTTMATGTAAATAGATGCTGAAATGCCTGATCCTCCTCCATTGCTGGCACCTCCTGAAAGGCTACAAAAATCAAGAAATCAGAAGACACTTTTTCCACTGTTGCTAAATTAGCTTGTAACTAAAGCTACCTCCCCTTTGTCTCCCCATAAGTCTCTCAACCATCCACAGGCAATCACAGCTGTTAAGTATACTCATTCACCATAAGATACTCTACATTTCACAACAGAACTTCTGTGTCTACAAAGGATACATAATAAGGAAAACAGCTAGCTAATAAATATGCTTTGAAAATAGACATTTTATACTTGAAAGGTATTCCTTCAAAATTTAAGAGGTAACTTTACTGTTTAAATGTAAAGGGTTTCCAGATATCAACACGTCACACACACATTATGATCCTTCTCTTCAGCTGACATATTTGCTTTCACTGTGTTTTATCACTGTAATAATACTGAAAACTATATATATMTAAAGGGTTATTTCTTTAAAAGTAACTTACATGGCAATATACAAATTGCAAAGAAAACCTGAGAGAATTTTCAGTCTTCAAAAGCTCAAACCCATTGTTTTTTAAGCAAAATAGGCTAGTTCCAAAACTACCTGTCACCACACAAAACTTCTCACAACATGAGAATCGCTTACTTGATTATTCATTCAGAATCTGTGAAGAATCCAAACTTCTCCACTGGGCATTTCTGACCCAAATCACCCTTTTTCCTATCCTGATTCTCATTATCTCTCTTTCCTAGTTCCTTCTCCAATCTTACAGGATACGTACTCCATTCACAGTCAAAAAACAGCACCAAGACGTAAGATGCTTCCACAAATGTCTGATCTAGGCCTTTCCTATTTTCTACATGCACACAGCCTGTGACACAACATACTCTAAACAACCACTTCAATTTGAAGCTGCTCAAATACTAAGTAACTAAACTAAACCTGTGAACTCAGATACATAGTGCAAGTTTCCAAACCACACTACGGGCAAAGACATGATTCAGATGAAATTCAGAATGTGCACTGAAAAAGGCAAGACTGATGACTCCATATTGTTTACTGGAGTTCTTATAAGCCAGGGCTTCTCAAGGTAGTGGTGCAAATTCTTTGCTTTGTTCAACAAATTCAATTTCAAGACTCTATGCTTACTTAGAAATCACTGCTTGTCTTGATGCTTACTGCTGTATTATCAATGAGGSATTCAAGTAACTATGAGGTACCTTACATAAAGTCTGACAACTGAAAGCATCTGCATTGTTGATTTGGCTCAGCTCCTGTTTGCTCCTGGGTCCGGGTCCCCAAAACATCTACACTTCCCATATACCAGCTAATATTCAAATTCCTTTTAGAAGGAAACTAATTCCCTTCACATTGAAAATCAGGTGCTGTTACCATAGAGATTTTTTCTGAACAGCGTAAGTATTCACCATTACTATCCCAGGTCCTGAGCTTTCACAACTCCACATTCAAAGTGTTCCTATAAAAATATATATGCAGCCAAGTACATAATCCAGTAATTTTCCTGGAGCATTAAGTTAACTCTTTAAGGTAAGGAAAAGAACCTGACAACCCTCCCAAAATGCAGATGTCCACACATACACAAACTTACTCAGCTTTATGACATGGAGAACACCAAAAAACAAAGTCAAAAAAGCAAAGTCAAGCTTTAGCAGAGCATGGCTGAACACCAGAAGCTACAGAGAAGAAAACACAAGAGTAGAATGGGAAGGTTTGACTCTGCTGAAACAATTTTAGAGGATGAGGGTTTTTTTCATAGTGAAATTCACCCTAATAGTATAAAATTTATGTAAACACCAAATAATTTTATTCCTATTGCAAWGCAGTTCTCTTCCATGTCACATTCAGTTTTTCAAAGTCTTCAAATCCAAACATTCAAATAAACTTGTTCACACTCTACGTGTAAAACCTACATAAAAATGTAAAACCTAAATAAAAATAAAATGATTCCTGTGGGTGAAACAGCAAATGAGCTGCTCTGTTGAAGAAATCCAAACTGAAGACTGACAGCATAATCTTACCATTTTTGTAGCATGCTTCCCCGTACCATGGAAGTCCAAAAACATATCCACATCAGATCCCAGCTGGCCAAAGGTGTTGACTGAAGAGCCAAATGGCTTTACARTGCTGTCTGGGAAATATGCACATGCAAAATCCCGAACCAAAGAACAGGCCAGAAATCGGAGCTTGATGTTTTCTTCTGTAAGCTGATACTCATTCAGTAGAATGTACATCTGACTGCTTATCTAGTTCAGAAAACAAACACTGTGTAAAAATACAATGACCCATCTTCTACCTATTAACATAGGTTTTTATCTACTTAACATTAATGCAATTAGGTTATTTTTTTAAATTTCAAAAATTTTTCTTTCATACAGAGAAATTATTTTCACAATTAAAATGAATAATTCATTTATTTATTTCAATATAAGAGAACCACCCACAAGAAATTCTACTTCTACTCATGAAATGTTACTTTTTTATAAAAATTAATTGCTTTATAAATTTCACATGACCACTTGCAAATCTGAAATGAGCAGGCTCATTTTTAATTAAGAGAGATCTAGAAACATCTACTTACACTGTCTGCAAGACATAGCTTCTGAATAAGATCTTTCACTGGAATGTGACACTGAGGAAAGAGATGAAGTGGTGTCTCTTCARCATGTTGACTCACTGGGTTTTTCAGCGTGAAAGTAAAAAGTCTTGATTTGAAAGGGACAACATGATGCTCTGAAGCACCTGGGATTCCAACAGCATCCTGCAAYGAGGCTATACTGCTCTTTTCCGAAAACTCTATTAAAGCACTGATGCCCTACAACATTAAGAATGGAAACACAAGATTAGAAAAATGCATACAAGGCTTGAACTCACTGTACTGATAYTATTCAGATGTTCCTGGGGCTACTGAGACAGATGAATCAAACAGCCCCGAAGCCAAATGCTATGTTCCATATCTCAACACATTTTAGATGCTTTTTCACAAKAGGTTAAAATTATTTAAGATGTGCTATTCTTAGCATTAAGAACTAAACATAAAAATTCTGAAATATGTTAATCTTCACAACTGAAATACTCAAGAAACACATAAAAAAGGGCTATCTCTATTGTTAGAACAATGAATGGTACTATGTAAAAGTTTCAAAGATTTAGTGCAAAACAGGTTGCTGGCTATTCCTTAGAGGTGTTGCTTTGCTGACTTATGAATAAAAATCAACTGCTCAGCAACTTATGAACATTTGCACAGATAAAAATTGATTTAATATACTAATTGTATGTAATTGTATATAATTTGCTTAACTTATGTATGAGGCCTTAACCAGATTTTCTTTATGGTATTTCTTTTTATCTAAGTCTAGATTTTAGTTAACATTATTAATTACTTACACGATTTTCAAAAAAGAAATGACTCGTAACATTTCCATGACTGGATAAGTACTGCAACAATTTTTTTTCATTAACTTTTGATGGGCACTTAATTAAAACTGTCCGTTCAGCTTGATCCAGTCGTTCTGTCTGCACTTCAGCGAATGTTTTCTTTCTGGTACTGATTTCAGCATCTGTGAGAAGAAACAAGCATCAGGGCTTTTCTACATAAACAGAAGATATTTAGCTGGTTTTAGYAAACTTAATCTCTTCCTCTGGATTAAACAACTCAACAAAGGTTTGCCCTGGCTCTCCAGGATCATGGCACCAAAAATGAAAAGAATGAAGAACAAATGAAAGACAATGAAGAATGAATGAATGAAAGAAATCTAAGTGTATTTCTCTCAAATGCATACATTTGTAGTAACAAGGAGCAGGAAAGACAGGAAGAAACAATACTGACTGGCCTTGATGCCACAGGAAGCTTCATAATACACGAAGTATTAACAAGTAACAGCTTCACAGGCTCTGCTGATGTGATGTGGTCAATGGATTAGTTTTAAAGTTATACAGGGAAGTGATCATGATTTCAGATTTGGGAGATGACCCCTTTGCCTGCGTGCAATGGAGAAAATAAGTTCTATGTTTCTGGGTGTTCACATGTCTYGATTCCATGTGAATTCTGGAGGCTGTCAGCAGCAATACAGATTGCAGTAGTGTGATGAGATAGGACTGATCTGTGGGATTATTGTAGTGGAATACATGAAAGTGTATTATTAAGTGAAAATTTTGAGTAGGAGTTTACCATAAAGGAAGGCGCTAGTTGTAAAAATAGCAAGCGTTAAATTGTTCCGAAGTGCTGGTTTTGTGGTAGTGGAGAGAGATTATAATTTCAGTGAAACTTGACAAAGGTCTAGACCTGCCTGACAGCCTTGCTGGCACTTCCAGACTCTTACGTGTGTGCCAAGTTTTTTGATAGTGAACACAAATTAAAGAACCAGGATTCCTTTCTCCCAAATCATGATCACTYCCCTGTATAACTTTAAAACTAATCCATTGACCACATCACATCAGCAGAGCCTGTGAAGCTGTTACCTGTTAATAMTTCCCTTTTGCAGTTGGGAAGATTGGGAAACTAGCGAGCATCTCCCAGCATCTACTAYCTGCCACAGGAAGATTCAACAGAGAGCTCTTTATTCAGTGTTTTCAGTTTTGAGGAACTCATGGGATATGGTGGCCTCAAGATGACCTTAAGTATCATTAAATGGTAGTTGTTACTATTACTTGAYAGTATTGCTTTTTAAAAAATCATTTATTTTACAAGTTTATTGAGCTCTCAYAGAGGCTTGTAAATAATAACCACACTAGTTCTTTCACAGCTTTGTTTTATATAGCACTTTTATCAGAAGACCAAGGAAATACTTTCTGAGGATTATAAATATCACGTTTTCCATAGGTACAGAGAAAGATTAAGTGACCAAGAGACCAAGATGCAGAAAAGACAAGTCCCATGGATGGGTGACATGATCAGGAGGTCTCTGCATTAGGCCAGAATGGCTGTGATTTTTGCCTCATTTACCTGTACATTCTGAGTCACTACAGAGATGATGTGATCTGACAGCTCTCCTTYTGCACAATCTGAGCATGGCACTGATGCACAGCAGCAATGCTACTCTTCACTTGTTCTCGGCTAAAGACACAGCGTCAGTCACACGTTTCCCACGTGTTTTTGAGGGGGTCTCTCGGGATAAGCCCTGTCACTTGATTTATCTCTAGCTGGTATCTACATTTAACAAATCGAGTTTCGAGTACTGACAGCGGACTCTGGCCTCCTGGAATGGGCCCCGGGAAGGCACAGCCAACCTCACTGCCCGGCCGGGCTGCCCGGGCCCTGCGGGGCTCTTCACGCCCGGCACTCGGGCATTGCCCCGGTGTCTCCGGCGGGGCCGAGCGGGACAGGCGGCCATTCCCCTCCCCACGCCCCCCGGCAGAGCCC